GGGGGGGGGGGGGGGGGGGGGGGGGGGGGGGGGGGGGGGGGGGGGGGAGATCTTATATTATAGAGGGGTCTTCTAATGTGTCGGGGGTTTAGTTCAAAGTCTTATTTTACTGGTTCAATGTCTTCATTATCATTGCTTTCAACATTATCGAATAGTACTTCTCATCATGGAAATAATAAAACCGGTGCAGTTTATCAGTTAGCTAAAGCGATTTTTGTAATGTACAATTTTTATTTTAGTCTTCACTTATCGAGATATAACTTGGTAATTCAAACATTGATCCAGGTTGACGTGCAAGTGGTTGTCTAAATTTATTAGACTTAGCATTTAAGGATACCTCCCTTTCCGGAATTTCTTGAGAACGGCTCATCAAACAAATTTGAAATTTTCAGGACAGATAGATCTTGATAAGTACAGCAAAAGTTGTCATAGACTCAAAATTTTCTTATGCTGTCTTCTATGATATAATAGGGTCACAATGTCGAAAAATGAGTCTAACTTTCCCCCCAGTTTCTCCAAGACGGTATGTTCGATTGAACTGAAATTTTTTTACAGATACTAGACACTATTTGGGGTGCGTATTTTTTTTAGTTTCTTTTTATCTTTTGTTGTTTCAATAAAAAAGTCAAAATACCGAGCCTACTCTAAAAAGCGCTTTTTTTTTATTTCTCTAGCAAATTTTATCAAAGTTGCCAAAAAATCATTAGAGCAATGATTCTTGAAAAGAAAAAAAAATACTCACCCCAAATAGTGACTAGAATATGTAAAAGAATTTTCAGCTCGATCTCTCTTACCATGTTGAAGAAACGGGAGCGAAACAGTACTTTGCCTACTAAAAATTTTATTTTGAGAAAAAAGGAAAAGAAATATGCGATTTTAGCTATTTTCGTTATGTAAATTTGATTTCTGTTCGATTTTTTTTAGCTTTAAAGACAATTGTTGAGTCCCAAAATATACTCAGTAGATAGATACTACTTGAAACTCTACAATGGTCACAAAAAACTAAAAATCAAAAATTTTGGGCGAGGAAAGGAGAGGGAGCTACCCTTAAACGATTTGAAAACTTACCTTTTTTTAAATCGATTAATATTGAATAGATATATATGTTGAAATTTTAGTGGTCTTTTGTGCAACAAAGAAATGATTAAATCGAGGTGTTTCATTCAGTTCATGATTCAAGTAAACTTTGAATAATTAATATTTTGAGTTTGTTTTATTCAGCTTATGAAATAGTATGGTGACCGAATATTCTGATTGGTCTTTTTTTGTTTTGACCTTAGTGATACAATTATTAAATTATGATAAAAA